TAAGCTCTTTTTCCCAATCCAGGGTCACATGTTGCATTTAGTTGTTATGTCTCTTCAGTCTTATTTAATCTGAAAGAATCTTTTTTTTAACATTTAAAGAATATTATTTTAATCATATATGTTTTTCTTCAAACAAGGAAAAATTATTTACTTTAGAACCTGGAGGTTTTAGTGGAATATTGATGAGCAGGTGAGTAACTTTGGGATGTAAGTTTTATTCTATAAACTTAGGTCTAAGTGAAATGACAAAATTTTATTGTGTAGTTTCCTTTTTCTTAGAGTCAATACTTGCTTTGTTTTTTTTTTTTGGTTTGTTTAGTTTTCTATAATGTATTATTAATTCTTTACCCAAGCTCAACTTAAACTCTCAAGTGTGAGCAAACCGGTCACATAACCCATCAATTTCAGCTTTAACAATTATTTAAAACAGCAATCATGAGAGAGAATCACTGATCAGCATACTGCTCCCACCTGGACAGGTTTCTGCTTCTCTTTGCTCCACAGCTCCTGGGGTTTTCTTCATCATCACCTTGAGAATTCCCTTCACCTCTTTTTTTTTTGTGTTAGGCTCTGGGTTTCTTGTAAGTCATGTCCCCTTGCCTTACTTCCCCTGTTTTGGTGTTGTGCAGTCTCTAGTTTGCTTTGAGAAGGAGTGGATGGGATCTTTCTTTTTAAACATTACATGTCTGAAAATGTCTTCACCTAATTTAATTGATAGTTTGGTTATCAAATTCTAATCTGGAAGAATCTTTGTTGTTCTTGAGCTTCACAGTTTTGCAGAGTTCAGGATCGTCATTTTGTAGAATGTCCTTCAGTTTGGCTTGTCAGATGGTTCTCCGTGGTTAAATTCAAATTATTATTCAGGCTGTGCATTTTTGGCAGAAATGTCACCCAGAAGTGATGTTATGTCTTTCTCAAAGCATTCCATCAGAAGACAGGTGTCAGTTTGTCCCAATATTGAGATATTGTCTTCGATCATATGGTTAAAGTGGTGTTTGCCTGGGTTCTCCACCGTAAAGTTATTATTTCCTTATAGTAGTAATTAACATGTAATTTGTGGGAAGATACTTTGAGATTCCTTAACGCCCACTAATTTAGTGTCCATTGATGATTTCCAACTTCAGTACTCCCTCTATATTTATTAGTTGGCAATTTACTGTAAAAAGAGCTTTCCGTTTTCCTCTCCTTTATTTATTTATACTGATATGAACTTTAGATTCTTACTTGACTCAATGATCTGTAATCCACCACAATCATTATTTATTTTATGCTCAGATTGTCCCAGATTTTGACTTCAGTCCCTAGCTACTGTGTCTTTTTTATATATACCCAATATTCTTTGAGCATCTCTTTACTTTCTGGCAACAAAATGTTTAAAAGATAATCTCATAATTTTGAAACCCCAGCCCTGAAATCAGCCTTTTCCCCAAGGAGCTCTGATTCATTTTAATAGAGTGATATTCAGTAACCAAGATCTGGACACTTGGTATACTTATCACTATCACTAGTTGTGTATCATTCCTTTGAGGCTCTCCCAGTGGACAGAGCTAAGAAATATATGTATGTGTGTATGCGAATGCATGTATTTCTTTTTTTAAGTATATTTTTATTGACTTCAAGAGAGGAAGAAAGAGGGAGAGAGATATAGAAACAACAATGATGAGAGAGAATCATTGACCAACTACTTCCTGCACACCCCCCACTGGGGATAGAGCCTGCAATCCAGGCATGTGCCCTTGACCAAAATCGAACCCAGGACCAATAGAACCCAGGACCCTTTAGTCCACAGGCCGATGCTCTATCCACTGTGCCAAACTGGCTAGGGCTGTGTTTATTTCTTTATCTATATATTAAAAGCAAGAAATTCATAGACACTCCATTGAAAGAAGAGAGGATGAAAATCATTTATTTTTTACAAAGAATCACTTTGACCCTGGTTGGTGTCTCAGTGGTTAGAGCATCGGGGCACACACCAAAAGGTCTTGGGTTCTATTCCCGGCCAAGAGCATGTACCTGGGTTGAAGGTTCAATCCCGGCTCCACTGGCAAGTGCAGGGGGAGGGAGCAACCAGTTAATATGTCTCTCTCACATCTATGTTTCTCTCTCTCCCTCCCTCCCTCCCTTCTACTCTCTCTAAAAACCAATGGAAAAATATCCTCGGGTAAGGATTAACCAGAAAAACTTTTTTTAAAAAAAATCACTTTGCTCCATGTGTTCAGAATAGACTGTAAGGGAACAAGAAACAAGAGCAGATAATCGGGGTGAAAGATGAGGGTGGCTTGGGCCAGGGTGTAGTGGTGAAGTAGTCAATTTTTTTAACATATTTTAAATAAGAAGTTGCTGACATTCAACGTGCAGTGTGTGAGAGAAGAATCAGAGAGGATCCTAAGGTTTTTAGTCTGACCAACTGAAGAAATGGAATGTCCATTAACTCAGATGGAAAGACGACAGGTGGAGCAGGTTTTGGGAAGACACATCAGGAGTTTGGTTTGGACAGTTTAAGTTTGTTATTGCCAACCAGATAGTCAAGTGGAAATGATATGTAGGCAATACTATATATGCATCTGTAACTCAGGGAACAGTGCTGGAGCTAGAGATGAGAATTTTGGATGTATTAATGTATTACTAGTTGATATGTAAATCCCTGAGACTGGAGATCACTAAAGGAGTGAGTACAGATACAAAAGAGGTTGGAAAATTGAGCCTTAGAAACAAGCCAACATTTAGAGATCCAGAAGATGATGAGTCAGCAAAGGAGTTTGTGAATGAACTGCTAATGACCTAGAAGGAATATCAGAAGAGTGTGGTGTCTTGGGAGGCAAGTGAAGAGAGTGCTTCTCAGAGGGAGTAAGCATCTGTGTCAATTGGTCATTTGGTAACCTTAACGAAGGCAGCTTTGATGAATGGGGGCAGGAGCACCTGATTGGAGAGAGTTCAAAGGAGACTGGGAGAATGGAATTGGAGGCAGTGGGTATAACATGTTGCAGGAGAGGGGAACAGAGAAATGGAGGGATAGATGAAGGGGAACATGAGGTCAAGATAGCTTTTGTTGTCTTGCTTACTCTAAATTGGAATACATTTTAGTCTGTAGGCTGGTGGGAATAATCCAGTTAGAGAGGGAAAATCTGATGGTATGGGAAAGAGAGCAAGGTTCGTGAGCCCTTGTGGGCCAGAGGGAAATGGAGATCTACTTAGTAAGTGTAGAGGTTGGTGGTAAGTGGAAGGATTCGTCTACATACTGAGGGAAAGGAAGGGAGAGTCTGTGGCCACAGACAGGTAGGTAGGTAAGTAGGCAGGTGGGTGCAATTGTGGATATCGATGGTAAAATCTCTTCAGAATGCCTTATTTTCTCAGTGAAACAGGAAATAAAATTGAGGGGCGATGCAGGGATTTATGGTTTGGAGTGAAAGGAAAGGGAACAAAATAGTATAGAAGGGTTGCAAGGTGAATGAATTATGGAAATGTAATACGATTGATCAATGGACTTGAGGAATCACCTGAGTTTGGTGGAATTATGAATTCAAATTGGCAGTTAAAAGGCTTCTGCAGGACACAACCTTCGGAAATGTAGGAAGGACTAGAAAGCCTGCAAGAGGGCGTTCATGGAGGGGTCATGGGTGATTGAGTCTCTGCGTTCGAGAATAAATGCAGGATCTTCTCCAAGGAAAGAAATGACTGGGAAAACAAATTACTCTTCTTCCGAAGGCAGTATTCACATTCCCAAAACTACTGGCGCTGTGAGCAGGATTCGAACCTGCGCGGGGAGACCCCATTGGATTTCGAGTCCAACGCCTTAACCACTCGGCCATCACAGCCACAAGGGGCCCTACCTCCGCACAACTATAGCTGTCTATAAAGAGGTTTGCCCCTGGCCGATCCTGTCCCGCCCCCACCCGGTTATCTCGAGATGTTTTGCATATGGACCTGGGCTGGATGCTGCTGGCCGCGCCTGCTTTGCATCAGGCATCAGCAGCCCTGTGGGCGCAACTTTCCTTTTCTCCTTCCTCGCACGGAGCCAAGTATGGCTCCATCAAAATAAGCCCAAATCGGCCCCAAACCCTTGAAAGCAAAGGGATGCCCGATTGCGAGAAGCCTTTAGGAGGCGGCGGAAATGCGTTCGCCCCTCAGCAATAATGTACTACTGGCAACTGGGCCAGGTACCGCTGGGATTCGAATCCAGGACCTCCTTTTTGCGCAGGCACTTTATTTTACTTATTGATTTTAGAGAGGAAGAGCGAGACACATTGATTTGTTGTTCCACTTATTTATGCGTTCATTTGTTGATTCTTGTATGTGCCCTGACTAGGGACCCAAGGGCAACGTTGGTGTACCCGGATGATGCTCTAACCGAGTTACCCAGCCAGAGCCAGACCGGAGCTTTAACCAGCTAAGCCACGGCGCCGATGCCAAGACGGTACCTCTGCAGACAGACGAGCTGTTTCTGTGACCAGCGAAAACCAACTGCAGAACAATGGCTGTTCCAAGTCCGCAGGGATTCAGCCCTTTCAAAGGTTTCCCTTCCCAAAGGTTTTGCGATTTGAACCACAAAGCTAATGCTCCGCCCCTCCTCCTTCCACACTTTTGGGGGCCAACTTGACCAGCATGGGTTCGTGACTCCTCCTCCCTTAGCCACCTAACACCTTCAGGCCTTCTCCTGTGTGGTGACAAAAGTCAGAATCCTCAACTGCTTCCGGACACCAGCAGGTTGAGTTTCCCCGTCTCAGGGGCTGACCCCCAGCGGTGCTTGCCCAAGCCCCCAGCCACAGGTTGCTTCTCATGTCTCCTTCCGAGGACAAAGGCAGCCGAGGTAATGCTGGCGGTGAGAGCAGGGTCTGAATTAGGTGGGGATTTAGCAGGCTCAGCACAGCCCTTCAGCGGGAAAGGGTGTGGGAGAAGAGGGACAGGAATTGCTCACTCTCTCTACAACCTTCCTGGGAGCAGGGCCACACCTCCTCACAAAGACCTCCTCTTACCCAACCCCAACCTTTATTCCACAAAGCCCTGGGTCTTATTTTTATTTTTTGTATTAAAAATAGTAACAGACACAATATCAAAAACACAAATGTCATAGGTAGAGGGTACAGCTGAGAACGCCTGGGTCCCACCTGAGGGGCAGCACCAGGGACTCCATGGTCCACCAACCTCCCCCACCCTGAGGGGCAGCACCAGGGACCCCATGGTCCCCCACCCTCCCCCACCCTGGAGCAGCTAGAGGTTTGGACCACTGGCTCCTGCTCGAGCCTGGGGCCCTCCTTCTCCCACCTGGGGAAGAGGTAGGAGAGGATGCCTCCCCCAATAAATAAGTGCAGCCCCCACCCTTGGTTCCCAAGACTAGGGTTCAGCTGGGACTTGGAGAGGCCACGTCGGCAGCCTGTCAGCAACCCTGTCCAGGGAAGAAAGGACCCAACAGGGGTGGGAGCTGAGGCTTCTCTGGAGAGTTCCACCCTTTGTTCCCTCGAGGCCAGAGGCAGCCCCTGGATCCTGGGCGGATGGTGACGGGGGTCCAGCCCCCACAGCGGGAGAAGCTGGGACAGTTTGCTATTGGTTGGTCCAGCCACGTCTGAGTTCTGACAGTTGGATGTGGAAGAAGCTTCTCAGGTCCTCCTAGCGGTGGCCTCCAGATGTAGTTTAGCTGGTGCCATTTTCTGTGGCAGGTAAGGCTGGACTGGATGAGCTCTCACCTTGTTCCTCCTCCTCCATGGCCAGGTCCTGGGAGCTTGAGACCCCAGCCCCAGCTTGGGCCTGGGCCTCATCTCTGCCCTCATCCTCACAACTGCCACCACCACCTTCGCCTCCACCCTCCTCCATGGGCTCCAGCCCCAATCCATCCAGTCCTGAGAAGAGTGGGTCTTGAGGGTGGCCAAGGTTTTGGGTGCTACTAGCGCAGTCCACACAGGCCTTGGAGGGAAAGAGGGGGTGAGTCAGGCATGGTTCTCCCACTGATGACCCACTACCCCAGCTCCCTGAGTACTTCCCAAAATGTACTCCGAGAAAACACTAGTCCACATAGATGCATGTGGGCCAAGACTGGAAAATCCACTGTACCCTGTATCCAGACCTCACTATGGGAGAGTCACAATGTTCAGTAGCATGACTACAAAAACTCATGCGATTTAATACTATATAACCTAGCAGCAAACTCAGTAAAATTAAGATCCTTTAGAAGAATCCAATGACAGTAAAGAGAATCAGCCCTTAGCCTCTATCCTCTTGACCTGAGTTCAATTCTTTCTTCTCCCTCCTACCCCAGACTCCTCTCACCATCACATCAAGGACCCGAGGCAGCTGGCCCTTCCGGACCCAGGAGTGCACGGCACCCAGTTCCCTCCGCTGGTCCTCTGAAAACCGAGGCTGCTGCTTTTGCATGGCCCGGAGCCGCTCCCGGTCCTGCTTCAGCACAGAGGCCATGTCCCTGCCCAGGGAAGGGGTTCAGAAGGTAAAAGCTGGGAGGTGGAAGCAGGGCCCATGAGGCTGGCATTCTTCCTCTACCACAACTCCCCACCCACTGCCTCATGCTCCTCCCCTGAGGAGTTCAGGGCTTGCGAGACCAGGAGAGCTGCCCTCAGCCTGGGAGAAACTAATAAGAGGCTCCAACAGGCAGGGGATGGGACAGAGAGCCACAGAGGAGAGCCAGCCCCAGAAAAGAAAACCCCAAGTTAGCTGGGAAGTGAGGCTGGGCCAGCCTCCCCACTTCTTTGGAAGGATGCCAAGGAGGCCTCAAACTCCTCACCTGGAGGGCACCTGGTAGGTCATCATGACACGCTGGTCAGCATTGGCCATGAGCAGCCAGATGGGATCCTGGAGCACGTACTTAATGACCTGGTCCCCGGGCTCAGCCTTGGCCTGGGCAGCCCCAGCCTCAGCTTCAGAAGAGTCGATGCTGCCGAAGTACTTGCTTGTGTGGCTACTCTGACTGCTTCCTGTAAAGCAGGGTGTCAGCCAACGAGGTCAGGCCAGCTGGTACTCCCACCTCCCTCCTCCCTCAAGGCCACATATCCAGCCCACTGGCCTCAGGAACCTAAGCAGGGCATGGCCCAGGCTGCTCAGCTAACGTGGGGCCTGGACTCTTAACCCCCCAGTCACTGTTCTACCTTAGGAGGTATTGGTGGGGGGCACTCACGTGTGACGCTGGCTGAGGTGCTGCCCCCCTCATTGGAGCCTGAACCAGACCCAGAGCCCAAGCCAGAGCCCAAGGAGCCTGAGGCAGCAGAGCCTGTGCCCGAGCGAGAGTCTTCTTGCAGCAACAATTCCAGGAGGTCACTGGAGCCCGAAAGTGCATCCTGATTGGAGGACTCAGTTACCTCCACCTGGTGGGGGGACCGGGAAAAATTAAGGGATCAACACCTGGCTTTCCCTTCAACTGCTTCCACTGGTTGGGGAGCACACCCAACCCAAGTGGTCTTTGATCCTACTCCACGACACTGGGACCAGAATGAGGGAGCAGAGAGCGGGCGAAGAGTAGGGACATGATGCTGAACCATTTCCAAGTGGCAGATGCACTCTCAGAAGTTACTGGGATGTCCGCACCACCTGTCAGACAGACAGGACTGTCCCCCTCACCGATAGGCAGCTGGTTTCTGCCTTATTCAGAAATTCAGCTGGGGTCTCCCACCCGCCACACCACCTTCTGGAGACGAGGTGCAGGCAGGCAGAGGGCAGGCAGCAGCACAAGGTAGAGGAGGAGCAAGGGGAGAAGGGCTGTGTGGGGCTGCAAGAGGATGCGGGGCGAATCCGTGCTCACCAGTCTGGCCTCTGGCTCAGCAGTCTCCTCACTGGGAGGCAGGGGCCCAGCATTGCTCCCAGGGCCCCCTGCAGCAGCACCCCCCTCAACACGGAGGGACTCCTCAAGCTGCAGCAGATTTAGCTGGAGTGGGGAGCTGCACCGCGAGTTGAATAGTGGAGAGTCTGGGCGGTGGGGAGGGCTGGGGGCTAGGGGGGGCAGGGATGGAGAAGGGGAGTGGGACACAGGGGTAGGAGGACCCTCGGCAGGAGTCTGAGGTACCCCATAGGGATAGCTGGATGGCGTAGGGAACAGATAGTTAGGTAGCACCAAGGCTACAACTGGGGTCACCAGAGGGGCAGGAAAAGCTGCAGGGGACACAGATGTGGGGGCCGGGGAAAGAGGCTGGGGACCACCTCGGGGGGAGAATATTGGGAGGGTGTAGGGCTGTACCACAGCTGGGAAGGGAGTAGCGGCTGGTGGTGGGGGCCAGGGGGCAGAGGGTGGGACAGATGAGGGGTGGGACACATAGCAGGGGGCTTCCACCCGAGGGATCTGGTGGTGACGTGAGCGCTTGGCTTTAGACCGGCAGTGGTATCGGCGGCTGGGGGGTGTGCGGCCATGGTGGCAGCCTGTAGGGAGAGACCAGGGTTAGCAAGGGCCTCAACCTAGGTTTAGCACCCCTGCCACTTACTGCCCTGCCATTCTAACCAGGGAGAGGGCAGGCTAAGGCCCTAGAGAGTTTGGCTTCTCAGCCTGCACGGAACAGAGGGGACTCTGGGGAGGTGGGAGCCTCCAGGCAAGAATCACAGGAGAAAGGGACAGGGGGGTTTATTGAGAAAGGAGCGGGGAAAGGAAAGGGTACATGAGGGGCTGAGGGGTTGAGCTGGGGGTGTGCAGATGGGAGGAGCAGGGTGGTCCATAACGAATGGGTGGGAGGCTTCAGTCCATGCGTCAAACTCCCTCAGGCACTGCCAGTGTTGGCGCTCCTTCTGCCAGTCAAGGCCATGCTCTGCCTAGCTCTTGATGAAGCGAAGAGATGGGCAGGAAAGCCGGATCCTGAGCCCTTTGTCCGCCTACAGGCGGCCTCCCTCAGGCATCTGCTGGACTGCCGCCTGCCCCTTGAAGCCTGACCCCACCTGGAGTGGTCCCAGCCTCCTTGCCTAGATTTGGCCCTGAGTCTTTATAGATCTCTCTCTCTCTCTTTTAAAATATGTTTTTATTGATTTGAGAGAGAGAGAAACATCGATGTGGGAGAAATATTGATTGGTTGCCTCCTATACGCAACAGACTGGGACCAAATCTGCAACCGGGGCATGTGCCCTGATCAGGAATTGAACTGGCGACCTTGTGATGCACAGGATAACATTCAACCAACTGAGCCACACTGCCAGGGCCTGTATACATCTCTTAATCAGTGACAACTGCGTCTAAGGGGGCACACTTTCTGCCCCTGTCCCCTGGCTGGACCTGAAGTAACTTACCTGAAGCAGAGCACTTCTGCCCGCCTGGCTCAGTGCCAGCCACCCAGGCTGCCCTCCTCTGGCTGCAGCCTGGTTCCCTGGCCTAGTGGGGAGACGCTAGCGAAGGGCCCGTCCCTAGGCAGGCCCAGGGCCCGGGCAACAGCAACCTGGGTCTCTGGAGCAGGAACATCCCCCTCAAAAATCCCCTCCCCGCAACAGTCTGATCCTAGACTAGCAGAGGGCAGCTCAGAGAGGTAAAGGTTGGCTACCTTGCTCTCCAGGGGCCGAGGGAGCCATGGAGGAGCCATTGAGTCCGCGCAGCCGGCCGAGGTCCCGGAAGCGGCTGAGGAAGGCCTGCTCCTCCTTCTGTGTGTGCAGAGACAGCAAGGCCTTGGTCAGGCCCACGGGGCGGTAGGCATCTGGGGCTGGGTCAGGGACTACCGTGGGGCTGGGGGCTGGGCACGGAGCCAGGCCAGGCAGGTCCTCCATCATGACGATGTCTGAGGAAGGCGAGATGGGAGAAAGATCATCAGAATCACCTCAAGAGTTAACATCACACCACACCTTCCCTGCCCAATAGCTTAGCCAACCCCTGGCCTCTGGCCCACGAACCTGGGCCCTGTGTGTATCTCTTGGCCTCCTCCCCGCTGAGGACTAGCTCTGGGCCCTCTTCTCTATGCAAAGCTGTCCCAGGAGGACAAAGGATGACACCCTCCACGACTCTCAGAAGGGAAGCCCACCCCCTGCGCTTCTCTTCCACATTTCCCAGGCCAATGTCCTTCAGGGTTTTTCAAGTCCTTGCCTTCTGACCATCTGTGGTCAGCACCCTGGGGATGACCCCCACCCCATACTTTGTGAACTGACAGTAAGACAGAGGAAGCAGGGTGGGGGAAAGACAAACCAGCAAAGGCTGGCGGGATGGAGGCAAGGAGCGGCAGCCCCATGCTGACACAGAGGCCTCCTTCTCTCCATTAGGGCAGAGGGGGCGGAAAAGGCAGGTGGAAGGGAACTCTAGCTAGGGGACCAAAGGGAGCTGGGTACTCCCCCTTACTCCAAGCCCAAGCCCATACCCGACTCCGGGGGCTTCTTGTCTCCCACATGGACGATGGTGGAGCTGAAGCTACACTGACTGGTGACGGACACCACGCTCTCCGCCTTATTGGCCAGGGTGAGCGGGGTCAGGGTGCCTCCCACCACCGGCTCCTTCCGAGGGGTGGCCCCCTCCCCCGACAGCACTGCCGATTGATCTGTGCAGAGAGATGGCACCAGTTACCACCACTTGCCCCACCAATCAGGAGAGGAAGCCCAGGGAGGAGGAGGAGGGATGGATGGTAGGGAGGATCTGGAGATCTGGAGACTGGGAGGGGGACAGGCAGAGCAAGGTGGGGGCCCCACAGGCAGAAGGGGGGAGACACAGGGCCAGCAGGCCAGCACAGGGCAGTGGGAGCGGGACATGCACTGGTCTTTACCTTTCTTGGTCCCCACAGGGACTGGACCTGTCCTCTGCTTGTCTTCATCAGAGGCCGAGGAGGCGGTACAGGAGGAGGAGGAGGAGGCACATTTACGCTTGATGGTGCCTGGGATGTTGCAGCTCTCCAGGTACCTGGCAATGCACAAGAGGACGTGGGGGCAGGGCCTAGAGTGGGGCAAGACCAGTGTCCACGTGGAAGTAGGTGCCAGACTAGCCTTACCTGAGGATGCTGTCCAGGCAGTTGATCTGCTGGTAGGAGCAACTGGAGGCTTCTTTCCTCTCAGCCTCCTCAGGGGCCATGGCTGGTGGGGCCTGCACTAGAGCAGGGTCTGCCTCCAGCTCTGGGTCTGGGGACTGGCAGTAAAGGGTCTTAGCCTTGACTGTGTCTATAGCTGGGCCTAGGAGAAAAAAAAAGAGAATAAAGCTTCTCTGGGTTGGGGTGAAGGTCAGGAGACCAGCAGTCTCATTCCTCACCCACACCCACACCCCGACCAACTCACCAGGGAAGCGGGGCCGGGGAAGAGGAGGCCGAGCCCGGGACTCGATAAAAAGCTGCTGCCCCTGGTGCTTCACCAGATGCACATCCTTACAGATCTGCTGGAAGGTCACCTGTGGGACAGAGCAGGCAGTGGGCAGCATTAGGCGGGCCTGGCCAGTGTCAGGGGTGCAGGGCACAGTGCAACAAGAGGTACCAGCGGGGAAGCATGGAGGCCATGACGAGAGCAGGAGAAGAAAGGAGGGGGAACGAGGCAGAGCTCCTCTGGTATTGGCCACGCTGATTCCAAAAAGCAAGGGGACTGGGAGACTAGAGGGGTGTAGTGGGAAAAGAACACTCACTGGGGCAGGAGGCCCAGGCCCCTCGGCATCACCCCCGTTGCTGTCACTAGACGAGCCAGGGCTGAAGAGAGGGCCTGGGGAAGTCACAGGGCCGACTCCACAGAGCCCCACGGCACTGGGGCTGTGCACAGGCTGAGGGAGAGAGAGGAACAGGTTAGGTGTCTATAGCCGTACAGCCCACCCCTTCCTCCTCTCCCAAGCCTCCTCTCCTCAGCTCTCACCTGTAACAGCAGCCGATGGATTTGCTCAGATAGCTCCTGGATATCAGGGTCCAGGGAAAGAGCAGGGCTGGGGACTGGAGGAGTGAATACATCCTCATTCAGGGGTGCCCTGTGGGATGAGGAAGGGCGAGTCAAACCCTACCCCCTCCAAAGCCTCTCACCTCCCAGTGCCAGCCCTGGCTCACGGCCCACTTACGTGCGGACTTTGTGGCGGCCCAACACAAAGGCCACCTTGCGGCTCCAGGGGTGAACGAAGCCAGCCCAGCTGCTGTCCATGGTAACATATTCCCCATTACGTGCGCAGAAACGAATGGGAGAGTGGTCAAAGGGCTGGCCAGCCAGCTGCAGGACTGAAGGGAAATAAGGTGAGGGTCAGCAGGCAGGGGCGCTGAGTAAGGTGAAAGCCACCCCGCTGCAGACTCAGGAGAGCAAGGCACCGAGACTGGCATCTGTTAAGAAGCCCTGGAGGCAGCGGGAAGGAAGAGCAGGGTGAGGACTCACCCTTCTTGTGGATGGCCAGCATGAGGGGTCGGTCCTCAGGATGCAGGAACAGGAGCACTGGGGCCCCCAGGAGATCCTGGGGGAGGTAGCCCAGCAGGGGGGCAGCCCTGAAACGGGAGGAGGCATGAGCCTGGCCCTGGCCTCAGCCCTGGCCACCCGCCTTTCCTCAGGTCCGGACCTCACCTTTCATCCACATCCTGAAAGAGGCAGCTGGGTGTGTGCCGTGTAGTGAAGATCCTCTTGTCGGGCGGTATCCGGGGAGCTGAGCACAGAAAATGTGGGCCAATGGGTTTCATCCAAAATGGTCCAGGTCCTCAGCCCTCCATGCTGCCTGGGGCCCAGGCTGATTGGCAATCCTCCCCACAGCTCTGCCCTAGGCCTTCTGGCCTACAAAGATGGTCTGGACCATTCTGTGACCCATACTAGTAATGAACGAGAACAAAGCACACTGCTGTGCCCTCTCCTGGTTTGGGGCTCTTAGCCAACTCTACCTCTAAAGGAGGCTACAAACCCTCATCTTTATTATACCTTCTCTGTTCCAAAATTCCAAGGGGCTGAATCATGCCTCCCAAACTCATGTCCTGCCTCATCCCCAAACCAGAGAAGGTACCCTCCCTTCCACCCCCACCAGGCTGGGCTCCTGGCCTGCCCACCTTCATAACCCGAGTGGATTCGCTCTGCAATGAGCAGGCAGCATGGCTGTGCGGGAGCCCCTTCTGATACCCGGATTTTGGTCACATATGGGGTTAGGCGAAATGGCTGGTACCGCGGCACTGGGTCCCGGTCAGGACCTCCTCTGGCAAGGGAGAAAAAAGGCATTAGTGACTATCAATGAAGGGCCACCCACCCTCCACCTCGAAGTCAGGATTCACACAGTAAAGAAGGAATATGTGTGGAAGGTGGAAGGGGTCTGCTCCCACCTACCTGATACGGCAAAAGACAGACTTCTCCTGGGTGAAGTCCTTGAAGCCTGAACCTGAGAGAGACCAGGAGAGAGGTGAGCACAGGCCCCCAGACCCTTCCTGGGCTGGGAAGAACCCAGTAAGGAAAATCTTGGGCTTCTGGTTCCTCACAGAATGAGCTTCCTGCAACTGCTCATCCGTCCCCCAAGCACCTGGGGACCTCACCTGCCGAAGCCCCCAGGCCCCAGGTAGGCAGACGAGATGGGGCCGTGGAACCATAGAAGACGCCCACATCCTGGGGAGCCAGGAGCTCTGAGAAGCGGGCACCCCGGAACACGTCCTGCTTGCAGTGCAGCAGGATACCTGCCTGCTCCGAAATGTAGACGATTCGGCCTGTCAGGAAGGAGACAGCCACGGAGAAGGTATCCTGGGCAGGAGAGTGAAGACAAGAGCGGATTCAGAAGCCATGGGAGTGGGAATGAGGGTGAGTTAGGAGGGAGAGGCAGGGCTGCAGCTGACCTGGTTGCGAAGTGTGTACTCAGACGTGATGTGCTCCAGCTCCTCCAGAGTGTAGGTGGACATGTCCATGGCACATGGCTCACCTTCCTCCAGGCTCCACTGCTGGTAGTACTCCTGGTTGGCTACAAGGTGAGGGCAGTGGGACATTCAGTGAGATGGCCCCACCATAGTAACCCGGGACCTGGCCACTATCCTCCTAGGAAGCACCACTCACCCTGCACCTGCTTGACACAGGCCAGTGCATACTGCAGTGTGGCCAGGGTCCCCGAGCGGCCCTTGCCCCGGCGTTCTGGCGGGAGCCGAAGCTTGAGCTCCCGCAGCGCCGTCATGAGTTCCTTCTGGGTTCTTGCACGGGCTGATTGTTCGCTGCTGCAAGGGCCAGAGGAAGGGAGGGGGTATAGACATTAGCCTCAAAGTGTGGCCCAACCCCCCCAGCCTCTTCCCCAGCCCTTACCCCACTAACCTGCAGCCACTGGTAGATGGGTTGTCCTGTTCTGAGCTGGCACTCAGGAGGCTGTAGGCAACGGAACTGCTGGGTGGGGATGGGCTCTGAGAGTTTGTGCTAAGGGAAAAGCAATAGGCCCAAGTTGAGGAGAAAGTGACTAGTAGTATGGGCCTTTCTCCTAGCTCAGCCTGTTCACAAGACCAGTCCCAGACCATACACACATCTATACATACCTCTTGCTGCTCTCAGTGGTCTCCAGCAGGGCTGAGTCCTTGCCATTGCCAGAGGAGGAGCTATGTGAGCTCCGCTGAGATGCACCCCTGGACTCATGCCCGTTGGACTCATTGCCACTTGAGCCATTGCTGTTGGCATCTGTGTCATCAGCCAAGCTGGGGCCAGGGCAGGACCTGTGCTGTGGAGGCCCAGGGGAAGGCGCCCCTCCAGGACAAATGGATTCTCCTGGCCTGGGGTCCCCTCCCCCATCAGCCCCTTCTGGGGGGCTACTCATGTCTGGGCCATGGGGAAGGCAGGTGGAAAACAGCGATGATGGAGAGGCCACCACGGATGCACAAGGGGCCAGGAGGCCTGGCTAGGGAGTGAAGTGGGAGACTCAAGTCTCTGAGGATTGAGAAGTTCGGTCACAGATCACAGCCAGTACCTGAAGAGGAAGACCAGAAAGGAGGGCTGAGAAAGCTGGGCTGTTAACTTGACAGTAACCCCTACACTCAGATCCTCCCCGGGCCTGCCCCCAGGCTCCTGGGACCCGGGCTTCTAGTAGGAAGTTAGGTAAGTTCAATTTCTTGTCCTGGTAGGGGGGTGGAGGTGGGAAGGGACCTTTCTTTGGCCTTCCCCACTACCCTTGCCAGCGTGGCCTGGGTAAGTAGAGGCTGGGCAGTCTACCAAAACTCCGGCTGTGGGCCAAACTGGACACCTTCCAGCCCCAAATTCCCATCTGGCTCCCACTCTGCCTAGGACTCCAAGGACTTTGGGCACCCGGTGAGCCCGTCGCCTCCTATATTTAGGTCTCCCGGCTAATTTTATCAGTGGGCGGTGCCACCTCCGCTGCACATGCGCGGAGACCTGTACCGCCCCACCACCGCGCTTCCGCCACCACCGCGGTCACCAGGGAAACCGACGTCAGCAGCTGAGCTCAGCGGTTGCTGGAGGGACCACAGGAGGGCGGGAAGGGCGACCCTCCCCCATTTCCCAGCGGAAGCAGGGGATGGACCTACTCCCACACAGGCACACAGGCGAGTGTGGCCAGGGTTCGCCCACCTCTAGTACAGCCCCAGTTCCCTGAGAGATGTAGCCTATCGGGACTCCGCGGGCTGGCCCTGCTCCCCAGGGCACAACACAACTGCCACTGCCCTCCCCACAGCCTGGCACTCGCCTGGATCCCACTCATTCTGGTCAAGACCACTCAGCCTTACATTCTCTGGCCCCTACACCCTCATCCAACCCCCCAAACCGAAGCTGGCACCTGCCACTGTCAGGGACTCCAGAATCCTTTCACTTCAGCCCGCGAATTTTCTAGACACCTACCGCCCCGCCCCCCCGCCCCAATCCGAGGCAAACACACACAGCTCTGAGCACGGGATGCACATAGCCAGCGGATATTTCTTCCCCTACTCCCGGTCCAACCACACCCCCAAACCTCGAGCATTTTCTGAGCGCCAGGAGCAAAGGGAAGGCTGTGGCCAACAGCAAGAACTAGCACCGGGAACGGGATGTTCCAGCCGAAACGGACTGACATCACGGCCGGCGCTGGGCCAGGGGTTGAGGGGGGAGTGCGGAGAGCACAGAAACCCAGAAGGGGTCCTGGTACCGCGGCAAAACCGGGGACCCCCGATTGACAAGAAAGACGGCAGGGGTCGTGCCTGCTGAGGGTCGGGCGTGCGACCGGAAGAGCTGGGAGCGGAGCAGGGAGGGGGGGGCAAAGCGGGAGGTAAGGTAAGGTAAGAGGGTCAGGAGTACAGACAGCCGGTGCAGGGTTGCAAGGAACAACACCTGGCCCCCAGGGGGGCTGAGAGGGCGTGGACAGCGGTAAAGGAAGGTGGATTATTGGTGTGCTGTCTGAACTCCTGGGCCGGAAACAGCATATCAGGCTGAAAGTAGGGGCGATCCGATTTGGAGCTGGTAACCGGCTCCCGGGGGGAGGGGGGGCCACGGAGACGCCTACCTGTCCGCGCGAGCGTCCTTCAGCCGCCTGCCTGCCGCCGTTGCAGCCCGCAGCCGAATGGAAGCTCCGCGGGGCCAGGAGGTGGGTTGCATAATGCCAGGCACTGCCCCTCATTGGCCTCCTGCCGGCGGAGCCACAGGCCCCGCCCCCGATTGGCTGAGGATCTCGTCCTGGCACCTGATTGGCTACTGGCCCCCACTGAGGTCAGGGCTGTGTCACACACGCGGGTGCACGTGGATCTGGGTGCTGGCACTGAGCTGAAGGGCCCCAGACGTTACCGACCAGCCAATGGGCGCGGGACGCCTTGTACAGTGAATACTGAAAGGAAGGGGAGGTCAGCTGCCCCTCTTCCGGGAACATGCCCAGGCCACATTAGGTATTTAAGAGACGTTCACTAACTGAACTGATCAGCCTTGCCGGACACCTTAGCCTTGCTAGGGGTGGGGAAAACGAATGCAGACCCTGGGAGGAGGATCAAACTGGATGAGATGGCTGGTCCCTGAGAGGAGGGGGACAAACAGAAACTCGGCTTGACTTCTGGGTTCCCTTTCTCAGCCTTGTCATTATAATGAAACTGTTTTACCCAACTCCTTCCTCTGACACTTCAAATCCTTACACAGCTAGGAGGAAGGCAATTGAGAATCCAGATATTATATTAGGAAGTGTGGTGGTGGTGGTGGAGGTGGAGGAGGATACAAACAATACAGTGGGCAGCCAGAGCCAATAGGAGGTGTGAAGGGAAACAATGGTAGGTGCTTCTGTGGCCAGAGAAAAGGTCTCTAGGGCCTAGGCAGCCTACATGGTGACTAGTGCTTCTTTACTCAGGATGCAGCCACCCACAGTTAGGGCTGCCCCAAAAGTGGGGGGCTAGAAACCCAGGGTTACAGGGAAAGAAAAGGGATACCTGAGAAAAAAGACCAACTGGGACCCTAGAGAGAAAAACGTCTGGTGGCAAGGGCTTCAGAGCTCCACCATGAGGAAAAGAGAAAGCCAAGGACATCATCTCTCTACTTCACTGTATTCCCCAGACCCTAGGACAGACAGAACCTGACACATGGCAGGTGATCAATAGAAACCATGGTTTTGTTGTTAACAATGATGGGGGAGGGGAAAGGGACTCAGCACCAGAGAGGGACTGAAAATTACAACTTTTTTAAAAGAAGGAGCAGAACACTGAGTCCTAAAAACAGAACAGAGGCCTGATTTGGGGAATAAAGTACCAGGCTAGGCCAGGAGAGCTGCAGTTACACAGGATCCCTCCATCCAGGACTGTGATGAGTATAGTTACTCTCAGGGCTCCCTGAAGATGCGGGTGGCAAGTGAAGAGCCCCCGCCCCCAGCTGATGCTGACATAATCACTCTCCTCGCTGTCACAGGCCTACGCTTTCCTTAACAACAGTGTTCCCCATTGGGTGCCAGGGGGAAGGCTCTGTGGAAAAGCTGGGAGGGAGGATATAAAATAACCTAGATAAACCAAAGCAAGAAAACACAGGAAGCACCTGGATTTTGTCTTCTCTACTTGAAAGTGTACCCCCCAACTCACAAATTGTGGCCCCATCCCTTCTCTCATTTTCAGACATCTCTTCTCTGGAAACATTTTTCTTCCTCCCCAGCTCTCCTCAGGGTAAAGGTGCAATCTCTCCTGACACAGACAGTCCTTGCTCTCCCACCTACACTTCCATATTTATTTTTTGCATAGACAAAAGAGCCCCGTGCTCCAGCAGACCTCACCTGCTCCCACAGCCCTGGTTGTCCAGCTCATGGTCCCCACAGTAACCAGGCCCTGCTGCCGTCAATGGAGGAGAGGGGGCGGGAGGCAGCGGTGACGTCAAAGCGGAGGAACGGGGCGGGGCGAGGAAGCCGGGGAATGTGGGGCAGGGAGGCTGAGAGGCAGCGGTTTGGATGGCGGCCAGACCGAGAGGGCGGCGGCCAGCGCACTTGGGAACATCATGTTCTTTTGGCTGGTGGCCCAGGACATGCACCAAGCCCGAGCGCCTCCCACAACCCAACGACAGCCGTCCTGTCCCACAGCCAGGGATTCCTGGAGAGAGGATTAGAAGGGGCCCCCCTCCCCTGCTCTTTCCCAGACACGCATCGCCCGCCCCTGGGCTTGTTCCTACAGCTCCTGGCACTGGCTTTCCCCCTCTCCCAAACTGTACACATCTGCTGGCCCGATCACAAAGAGCCAGGGAGGCCCGGGTTCTGTGAGAGAACACACGCACCTTTGCTCTTTGCGAGGCCCCCTACGGAGCCTGACTCTCTCGTTACTATGGCAGCAAAGAAGGAGGGGCAGGGAGGAGAATGGGTCTAGCAGGATGAAGAAATCAAACTGGGAAAGCAAGTGGCTCAGCCTAGGGCCTGGATCCTGGGAGAGGGTTTTGGGCTGGTGCCTGAAGACCAGAACCAGGAAGAGGGAAAGGGGGAGGGAGTCACCAAAACTGGCAGAAAAACTCGAGAATGAGAATAGTTCCTAACCACAGCATTCACATAAATCTCTCACCCTTTCACTGTTTTGTCATCCTATAGGCATATTTTAGCTAAATAATTTTTAAAACACGACCCAGACATTTTGTCAAGCACTTTATATACATTATCTTTTTTAAAAAATATTTTAATTGATTTTTTACAGAGAGGGAGAGGTATAGAGAGTTAGAAACATCGATCAGCTGCCTCCTGCACACCCCCCATTAGGGATGTGCCTGCAACCAAGGTACATGCCCTTGACCGGAATCGAACCTGGGACCCTTGAGTCTGCAGGCCAATGCTCTATCCACTGAGCCAAACTGGTTAGGGCTATATACATTATTTAATATTCATAATAACACTGTGAGATGGGTATTATTATCACCATTCCACAAGGACCTACTAAAGCTCATAAGTTACTAAACTTGACTAAATTGTCTCATAACATGTTCTCAGGCTCTTAACAAATAGAGCCAGAGTTCAAATGTGACCTCTGATAATGGCTTGAGATTCTGGCTTCTTAGCTTTCTGGAACCTGTGAGCGGTTAGTCAGCACTGGGGAACCTGAACCTCTCAAAGATCTAGCCAATTCTGAGCTTGGTGCCTGGAACACAGACCCCATCCAAACCCTCCTCCCATTTGGGACATTCAGTTTGCATGCCCCACACACTTCAAGTCATCACAGCCCCAGTTTTCACATGCGCACTAAGTCCTTGAGGTCATCCTAGCAGCTACCAGACCCAGTGATTTCCTAGGAACCCCTTTCCTCACACTTCCTTACCCCAGGTCCCTTTACCACAGGCCTAGTTGTTTGTACAGTTACCAGAGCACCCTGTTGGTTCCTCTTTATCTCCAGGGTCTGAGGAAGACGTGTGCACAGTCAAACTGTACAAAACCACCGTCCCTCTCAGGATCCAATAGTTGCTACCTCACCTTTACTCCCAAGGATGGCTCCCAGGCCTAACCCCTTCCCTTTACACACAGGACATTCAGAGCCCTGATGTGACGGGCGCAGGGTCACACAAATCACCGTGTCGAACCTTTCCAGCCCATCCACCTCCCTCTCAGGGCGTCCCTGCAGCCTCAGAACCTCTGTCTCTTTCAAGTGCTTAAGACACATACCCAAACAGCAGCCACACACTGGAACGTCCCCGTCCACTCTCAGGGATCCCGACCCTCTATTTCCTTGGGAGCAGGGGTCTCAGCAACCTCATGTCGCTGAGGGCTTCCGAGCCCCGCCTCCCAGTCAGTCTGGGATCCAGGTGCCTTAGAGCGGTGAAGGATTTGATGTCAGTGACTCCCCCGATCCCCCAGCCAGCCTCTCTAAGGTTGAGTTCTGGTCTCTATTCCCCACAACCATCAGGGCTCCCACCGCTGCGATCATGCATTTGCAGGATCCTCCCCACACACTCCATTAACACCCCTACAGACAGAACACACCACCCCAGAAAAACTGACCACCGCTCCTCTACCCCCAACCCTGAGTACTCACCGCTTGGCAAGCACGCCGAATCCAATCTCTTCCCAACTAGGACTACAGAGACTGGGACTCGCTCCTCCAGGCCCGCCCACCCGCTGGGATGCCACGCCCCTCAAGCTTATTGGCCTAAGGGCGCGGATCCATGCCCAATGCCTCGTGCCTTCGCCAGGCCTCCGCTCAGCCACCATTGGCGCCGCCCGCCGCCATCATCATCTCATTGGTCAATTTACCAATCCAGTGACAAATTCACGTTCGGGAGGGGCCGCACCCGGCGCGCATTGATTGACAGAAAGCCGAGCCCACAACCACTTCCGAAGTTCCTATTGGCTGTAGCAACCTGCCTGGGTCGGTGATGCACATGCTAGCCCCGCCCTCCAAACTTTTTCATAGGCTGAGCGGTCTTGGAGCTGTAGAGAACACGTGCGGGCGGTCTCACGCGGCAACTTGTTTACCCAGAAGCTGGGGATTTTCCTTGACACGCTTACTCAAGGCAGTGGAGTCTGCGCAGGCGCAAAGAGTGTGACCTGCACGCAGGCGCTGTTGGGTGCAACGATGGCTTTGATGGGGGCGCTCTGTGCCGAGATCCCATGAGAGGTCCCAGGGTGAAAAGAGCGCCCCGCCCCCTTCCCCAGCATTGGGAGGGTTCCCAAAAGCTGGAAGGTGTGAGCTTTAGGGTGAAGAGGTATTAGATCAGTAACGCATATGAGGCTGATGATGATAGCAGGCTCCTAGATTTCCTATGGACCAGGCTAGGTGCTTCTCACAAACGCAGAGCAGGCCGGCTTACTTACTACCCACTGCTTCACAAATGAGATTGAGATCCAGAAAGATCACATAATCCGCTCGGGTTAGCACGCTAGTCAGCAGATTTGAACCCATGTCCCTAGCACAGGGGTGGGCAACCCATGGCACACCAGTAACTTTTGCTGGCACGTGAAACCCTCACTTATAATCTTCCATTTACAATTTTTTTCTTAATATTGACTTTTTTATTTTTCAGATAAATTCAGTGTAGGTGCATCTTAGATCAATAATTTTACATAACAAGTTATCTTAAACACCATAGACATGGATTGATGAGAGGGGAAGAGCAATTTCTATGCCTCTGCCTTAACTCTCCCTGCCTTCCTAGATCCGACCAGTGTTTTGGTTTCATCCACATACGCTTGTGAATCTTGTTCTCAGTGATGAATTTTGTAAAGTCTCATAATAGAAGAAGCCTGACAGATGAAAGTAGTAGCTTGTGCATATCTCTGAAGGTCACGAAATATAAACCTGATGTAAAATCTCTGTC